ACTCCTGCCCAAATCACCAGATTTAACGCCCTCCACTACAAAGTTCTCGGACAAATCTTCCAAGTTAAAAGCTCCTTCTACCACAGGGTGTTGCAGCCCTCTGATGCGGAATGTTTAAATGCTTCTTCAACTTGCTTACGTTCATGCACCTCGTCTCCTGATTCCTAGTCAACGAATCTCAATCCAACGTCTACGACACCTAGGCCACATACTCCGCCACTTTGACTCCCTTGAACATAAATTTCGTTAAATCAATCGCTTAGACGCCGCAGTTCAATACTTCCAAGTTACATAAACGAGGAAACAAACTAGACGACGGTTGGCCCGAGAGCGAAAAAGATGTGTTTCAAGCAGCTCTGAGTATGGTAGTCGTAAAAGATAGTCGGTGAATAGTTGGTGAATTTTATTGGTGAATTTTATATGAGCTATGGAAAGACATGATGTAAAAAAGTAAGATTGATCAAGAAGAGAATATTTGGTAAAGGGCATCAGATGACATGTGTCTTGCAACCACAGAGAGAAAGAGGGGGAAGAGATAAAGAGAGAGAGAGAGAGAGGTCAGACGCATTTCCACACAAAGACCTTTGAGATACAAAAGAAGCTCGGCACCATGATGCCGTGGATGACCTTAGTTGCAAACAAAGGTGGGCAAACATAGTCGCAATGAAAATGCTACAAAATGCAAAAGTACACAAACAAAGGCTCCGTAAGAAACTAGAACTCCGTGCAAGAATGCTGTGAATGATAGCAAGTTCGATATCATGATGGCAAGGATAACACCTGTTTCACTGCATTTCTCCGATGTCCCTACAGGATGGGAAAAAAAATTTTACAGACAAACAACAGTTGGCTACTGGTTTTGCATGTTCGTCACGAACAGTCTCTCCAGACGAACATACTGGTTTTGCATGTTCGTCACGAACAGTCTCTCCAGACGAACAGTGCTACAGATTAATTTGCGCCAGTTGCACTCAGTGCCACTCGGTACGCAAGCCTTCCAGCTCCCTGATGCCGTGGATGACCTTAGTTGCAAACAAAGGTGGGCAAACATAGTCGCAATGGAAATGCTACAAAATGCAAATCCCCTCAGCAGCATAGAAGACTCTGCAGAATGCCAAGTCCTTCAAAAGACAAACTGTGACAAAAAACATTAACAACAGACATGGCAACGAAAGACGCACATGCAATTTGTAAGTAAGGATCGAACCACGTTCAGAAATCTCAAAAAATCTCGAGAAATGCCAGAACCGTTGGGGTGTCTTGTCAAGCATGCCTACACTATTTGCTCATGCTGCATGGTATTTTGTTTCCCCATGCGTGACTCTTGTCTTGTCCATTTGCTCACATCTAAGACAAGGAATGATCAATTCACATCTATAGAGCAAAGAGGTCAACATGGTCTGAACGTGAAACAGTGAATTAGCATGGACCAACGCAAAACATACTCTGTGAAGCTCGAGACTGGGATCGCAACTCCTGAGCTTGCGATAAGAAGACACCATCCTCTGGAGAACGACCTGCAAGCTCAAAACTCAGCTGCTGCTTCCCGAACAACGTCTATCAAAGAATGGCAAACATGCAAACAATACACATGCTATATATAAATACATCAACCGCACTGCGAAACCAGCATCAGATCATTTTCATTGTCAAAAACCATGCGGTCCGATCATCACTTGTTTCACGAACATTCAGCGTACATATGGGAATAAGAATGTTCACTCTGTGCACAAAACAATCAACATGGACATGTCCACAAAAGAACTGAGAATGCCACTCATGAGTTTGACATGGCAAAGAACCACTGTCGCAGAGTCCTGCAAACTGAAAGCTGAACGTGTCAACAGTGAAGCTTACAATGAACACATCAAATCATCAAACCACATGTTAGTCATTTGCATATAAGGTCCCGACTTAAAAATGGCGGCATGTCAGGATCGGCCCGAATAGTATTTTTTGTCCACTGCTCATGCATTTCCATGAAAACATTACATATATTTTTTCGTGCTGTACTTACATAGATCCACTGCATCGTAAACAAACACTGACATTGTCACAATGCAATTCTCGAGATCTCAGGGACAGCCCCCACAGAAACCTCGAGAAGTCCAAGAAATGTTCAAGATACCTGTTTGCCAATCGTCACTTGTTTCACGAACATTCAGCGTACATATAAGAATATGGATGTTCACTCTGTACACAATGCATCTTGTCTCTACGTTCACATCTGAGCCAAGGAAAGAGGTAAAGAGGTAAACTATGCTTGTCGGTGCAGAGTTGCACAATCCACTGCAAAGGATTTGTTCGCTGCGTTCCAAACTGAGAATGCCATCACACACAGACGCTCCTACACGCAGATGCTTATTACACACGCACACACGCTTTCACACACAAACGCTTTTACACACAGACGCTTTTACACACAGACGCTTTTACACGCAGATGCTTTTTACACACGCACACACGCTTTCACACAAACGCTTTTACACACAGACGCTTTTACACACAGACGCTTTTACACACAGACGCTTTTACACACAGAGTCCTTTACACACAGACGCTTTTACACACAGAGCTTTTACACACAACGCTTTTACACACAGAGGCTTTTACACACAGAAGCTTTTACACACAGGCGCTTTTACACACAGACGCTTTTACACACAGAGCTTTTACACACAGAAGCTTTTACACACAGACGCTTTTACACACAGACGCTTTTACACACAAACGCTTTTGCACTTTTACACACAGACGCTTTTACACACAGACGCTTTTACACACAGAAGCTTTTACACACAGACGCTTTTACACACAGAGCTTTTACACAGGCTTTTACACACACAGAGCTTTTACACACAGACGCTTTTACACACAGACGCTTTTACACACAGACGCTTTTACACACAGACGCTTTTACACACAGGACAGAGCTTTTACACACAGAGGCTTTTACCCGCAGAGCTTTTACACACAGACGCTTTTACACACAGACGCTTTTACACACAGAGCTTTTACACACAGACGCTTTTACACACAAACACTTTTACACACAAGCACTTTTACACAGAAACACTTTTACACACAGACGCTTTGACACACAGACGCTTTTACACACAGACGCTTTTACACACAGAAGCTTTTACACACAGACTCCTTTACACACAGACCCTTTTACACACAGAAGCTTTTACACACAGTAAAATTGCAATTTTTTGTCAGTTTTTGACGTCCAACGTCCATTTCGTGCGTAAGGGACGCTTTTACACACAGACGCTTTTACAAACAGACACTTTTACACACACCTTTTACACACAGACGCTTTTACACACAGACTCCTTTACACACAGACGCTTTTACACACAGACGCTTTTACACACAGAAGCTTTTACACACAGTAAAATCGCAATTTTTCCTCAGTTTTTGACGTGCAACGTCCATTTCGTGTGTAAGGGTTGCGATTGACAAAGTAAAGTCGCAATTTTTCCTCAGTTTTTAACGTCCAACGTCCATTTCGTGCGTAAGGGTTGCGATTGACAACTCAAAGTCGCACTTTTTCCTCAGGTTTTGACGTCCAACGTCCATTTCGTGCGTAAGGGTTGCGATTGACAACTCAAAGTCGCAATTTTTCCTCAGTTTTTGACGTCCAACGTCCATTTCGTGCGTAAGGGTTGCGATTGACAACTCAAAGTCGCAATTTTTCCTCAGTTTTTGACGTCCAACGTCCATTTCGTGCGTAAGGGTTGCGATTGACAACTCAAAGTCGCAATTTTTCCTCAGTTTTTGACGTCCAACGTCCATTTCGTGCGTAAGGGTTGCGCGGGACACTTCAAAGTCGCAATTTTTCCTCAGTTTTTGACGTCCAACGTCCATTTCGTGCGAAATGGTTGCGCGCGACGCTTCAAAGTCGCAATTTTTCCTCAGTTTTTAACGTCCAACGTCCATTTCGTGCGAAAGGGTTGCGATGGACAAAGTAAAATCGCAATTTTTCCTCAGTTTTTGGCGTCCAACGTCCATTTCGTGCGAAAGGGTTGCGTTTCGTGGCGCTCCGGCGGCACCGCCCCCGCCTAAAGAGAGAAATAGAAGAAGAGCGAGAGGAGATCTGCAGATGTGAAGGTGTGAAGATGTAGATCGGCAGATGTGAGGGTGTGAAGATGTAGATCTGCAGATGTGAGGGTGTGAAGATCTAGATCTGCAGGTGTGAGGGTGAAGATCTAGATCTGCAGGTGTGAGGGTGTGAAGATCTAGATCTGCAGATGTGAGGGTGTGAAGATCTAGATCTGCAGATATGAGGGTGTGAAGATCTAGATCTGCAGATGTGAAGGTGTGAAGATCTAGATCGGCAGATGTGAGGCTGTGAAGATGTAGATCTGCAGATGTGAGGGTGTGAAGATCTAGATCTGCAGATGTGAAGGTGTGAAGATCTAGATCGGCAGATGTGAGGGTGTGAAGATGTAGATCTGCAGATGTGAGGGTGTGAAGATCTAGATCTGCAGGTGTGAGGGTGTGAAGATCTAGATCTGCAGATGTGAGAGTGTGAAGATCTAGATCTGCAGATGTGAAGGTGTGAAGATCTAGATCTGCAGGTGTGAAGGTGTGAAGATCTAGATCTGCAGGTGTGAGGGTGTGAAGATCTAGATCAGCAGATGTGAAGGAGTGAAGATCTAGTATAACGGCTGCTTTTTTACGAAGAACCCTTCGCAGGCGCTCTCGGGAATAAATAAAAATAAATCATGAACATGCGAGAAAACAGTGGAAACCCTCGGAGTGAAGAACGCACAGCTGCACCTTTTTTCTCGCAAACTGCAATGGGAGATTTCGAGTCATGCAAGCTCGCATCCGCTTTGCATGCATTTCCAACATCTGGAAAAAACCAGGCGTTACATCACGCCATCCATCCACCCGGGCAATCATCGCCCGCACACATCAGCTGCTATTGCTCCAGAAATGAGCCAGCTTTTCACCCCACAAGGAGACAGCTTTGTCACCATTGACAGTGCTTACATCCATTCCAGAGTGCTGCCAGTGGAGCTCGAGGCTGCAGGCTGCTGTTCCGCCGTAACAACTTCCGGTGCGGGATCTTCATCAAGATCAATCGGATCGGCCAATGGTCCATGGGGACGGGCCGTCCGGAAGCGCAACTTCATCCGGATGAGCGTTTCCACGCTGCGTAGGAGGAGCATGGCATCAAGGAGGACAACATTGAATTCATTGTGTAATGATGTATCATATGCCTGGGTAAACCAGGTGTGAAAAGCCTCGAGCGCAGGAATGGCCTGGAAGATGCTGGTGTGGTGCTCATCAAAGGAGTCCAGCATCAAGTCGGTCAAGGGCCGATTGGCCGCAGGCAGAATCAAATGGAGAGCAGTTTCGGGTGGCTGCTCTGGCCACATCATGCGCTCAAGCAAGTACAGTGACTGACTTGCTTGGTGCCACAACTCACATATGGAGGAGAGATACTTTGGATGCCCACACACCTGCAAGATGTTGCGGCACGCGGTAATCATCTTGTCGAAGTTCGTGATGCGCTCTTCCTGCATGTTCTGGGCCATCGTCTCACTAGGGTGAGCCGGCTCTAAAAAGGCCAAACAAATGGATATGGCCGCGGTGAACCGCACGATCTCGTCCGGTGACATCGGAGTATGGACAGGTGCGGTATCGAACTGAGAAACGGCTTTGGGTGGGAAAAGGTATGACAGCAGACCTTGGGTGGGACAAAGCCAGCTTGAATGTGAACGGCACTTGAAGAAACAAATCACCAAATGAAGATTTGAAAACATCATGACCATTTTAACTCAACCTGGGCACAGCAAGATTTGAGTATACTTCAAGTGACAACTGCCGACGACAAAATATTGAAAGAATAAGTCACAGGTTGTTCGCAGGATCTCATCAGCTTTACTTATTTCCATAGAATGCTCGGACGAGCATAGGCAGTGAGTTTTTTTTTGAACTGCGGCTAAATTTCCTTAACAGCATGGGGAAATTTCACGCTATTGATTTAATGCCCTATCAACACGTTGACAGTTAGCTTAAATCAATCGCTTAGACGCCGCAGTTCAATACTTCCAAGTTACATAAACGAGGAAACAAATAAATAAAAATAAATCATGAACATGCGAGAAAACAGTGGAAACCCTCGGAGTGAAGAACGCACAGCTGCACCTTTTTTCTCGCAAACTGCAATGGGAGATTTCGAGTCATGCAAGCTCGCATCCGCTTTGCATGCATTTCCAACATCTGGAAAAAACCAGGCGTTACATCACGCCATCCATCCACCCGGGCAATCATCGCCCGCACACATCAGCTGCTATTGCTCCAGAAATGAGCCAGCTTTTCACCCCCATTTAACCGTCATGCAGTTTGCAAGCATTCACACATCGGCAGCTTTTTGACATGCAGTCACTCCGTCACTAAGGGTCTAATTTATTAAGGACCTTGGCAACAACTAGCTCCACAAGACTAGAGGGCATGAATTTTACCATTATACCTTCGCTCGAGCCTCGGGAAGGCCCATCAGCAATGTTGCTAGTTGAGGGGACTCTAGCATACCAAGCGTTGACTCCGGATGAGTCTTCCAAGCGAAGAAGCTCAGCAACTAATCCTGACCCAGGTGATGACCTCGCACGTCCGGATATGCTGACGTCACGAGTCGCATTGTTATCAATGAAGAAAACACATGGCCTATCCTTTAACTGCTTTTTCCAAACCGTAAAACACACAAGGAGTGCCAAAAGCTCTGCTTCAAAGATGACGGTGGACTTGCCTGGAAACCCCAAGGAAGCAATGGCTGAATCACTCAACTCCAGGGACAAAGCTGCAATCTGTTTTCCCCAGGGGTCTACCAGGACCCCTCCTATGCCACATTTCCAAGCTTTGCTTTCCGGGCTAAAGGAAGCGTCAGTGAATACGAACATTGGCATGTCCCAGGTGGCCGTGACTTCTCTGGGACGGGAAGTCATCAGGCTGTCTTTGAAAACCCTAAGGAAATGGGACAGGCACTCATCTATGTCCGAACCCTTTGCAGCATAAGCATGGGAAGTTACAGCATTCAGGCAAAGTTTAGATGACCGGCCCCACAACTGCGAATGGGCGAACTGCATCCGTCCCCTCAGTGACAAGGCTTCAGCAACCGAGAGTTGTCCAGCCGCCAAGGTCTTGTCTATGGTGGCCACCAGCTCTTGCACCCGTTTTTCAGTATTGGCAAACCGGGCTCGCCCATCCTTCCACATGGTGAGGTCGATTTCAACTCCAAGTGCTTTGAAAACAGCTGAGAAGGGCAAGTCTTTTTCGCCTTCTGAAACCGCCCAACCGAGCAATCGGAAAAATTGTTTCACCACCAAGGAAACGGAATCACTCTCAAGCTCCCTGGCAAGGGTTATAAAGTCGTCGAAGAAGTTCGACCAAGTCAGCTTCAACATTTTACATCCTAGCCACCACAAGGAGTGAGCCGCACGCAAAAAGGCATAAACAGACCTGGAGGCACCGAATGGCAGGGCCCTCATTGAAAAGATTTTTGGCAAGCCGCTCGCAGGGTCGAAGACGGCAATGTAAGAAACCCATTTGGATGATGGGGCAACGCCCAGTTGCCTATAGGCCGCAGACAGGTCAACCGTCTTTCCCAACCATTGCTGGGAAGGCGATCTTTTAAGCAACTCCATGCACAAGGCAGCCGCCACATCCAAGGTATGTAGCTTTGCTGAGCTATCCACCTGCACTGTTGCATTAACACCTGAGGCGCTGAAATCGTCAATGAGGCGCACCTTCACTTTTTCACCGGAGGTCTGTTTGATACCGAACCTCCTGCTCACCACTGCTGTCTCAGGAAGTTCACTGGGCTCATAGGGGCCATCCAACCAACCGCACTCAAGTTCCTCCAATGTCTTTGCATAGACTTCGCTATCAATGTCTGCATCGCCTGAGGATCGGATGGAGGCCAACAATCCAACCCTTGCAGCTCTAGCTGAGGACGCTAGTTCCTCCTCCGTTATCTTTGCTGGTTTGAAGCATTGGTCGAAGAAGGGAACGTGAGGTGCTGTACCAGCAAGTTGGATTCCCTCGGTCACCTCATCATAGACACTGCTATCAGGATAACCGTAAAACTCCATCATCTCTTTCCAAAGCAGGAGGCGTTTCGGTTCAAGGATTTCCCTCACGGCCGTTGGAAGGCTTTCATGCAAGGATGACTCTTCACTAGTTAGGGCCTTTGCACGGTCTAACCAAAATCTCAAGGTGTCCAGCCTATACACTGCCGTGTCTCTCACAGAATGATTTGTTACAAAGTCCACAGCTTCTTGCAAAACACTTGGCAAGCGAGAGTCCTTTTTTACAGGGCGCCCAGCAACTACTGCAGCTTCGACGAACTGATCGCAGGACCTGAAAACACCAAAAGACAATCTCTTCATACCGGGCTGCAAGGTCTTCCCCCCATTTAGCCGCAACGGAGGTTTTTTGAGCAGGCAGGCACCAGCGGGAATGCCGTTCCATGCTTCTTTGAGTTTTTCACCTGGGAGCACAGGTGGTGTAGAAGACTGGCAAACATCAAGGTCTTCAAGATATGCAAATTCTGACACCAAGGGAGGCAGTTTACTAGACTTCGGTTGAACACCTGTAATTGCCCGCAAGTACTGGTAAGAGATATCATCAGGGGGTTGGAGCTCGGTCGAAGGCGGGAGCCAACCCAATTGCACAACATGTTGGGTTAAAAACAATGCAATATGAAACGCTAATTTCATGGGGTAGGCTGTTTCTTCTGCCGTCGAGAAGGTCTTAGAGTCAACTAGCCCCCAAGTACGGTGTTTGTGGGTGGCACTCAAACCAGGACAAATGAGATTCAGATTTTTTTAGGGTTGTGGTATTATGAGCCAATGCCGTCCACTTTGGTCGCTGAGACCCGTAGGCACATGCCTGGTGAATGGTGAAGGTCAACAAGGGTACAAGAGGCCGAAAAAATGAGGTTCTCCAATAAATCGATGACCTGGGGTTTTCAATGCAAACGGTCAGGCCAGCATCGATGCAAAAGAGGCAAATTTCTGTGATAAATTTGTACAGGGCATTCGCCGCATTTACACGAACACGATTTACGCCAACCAGAGAGGGAAGGCCGTCTGGGAACTGATCTGATCGAAGAGGCATTGGTCCTGGAATGGTTTTTCCATGGGGAAGCCTTACTGGGATGCCTCTGGCTCGGCTGCAAGTACCGCAAGGCGGTGCAACGAAAATTCCTACACAATTTGGAGAGCGAATCCATTTCCAGCAAAGTGCCTGGCCTTCTTTTGAGGTCAAATCGGCGACAAGGAGGCGGCCAGCGTTTTTTTGGCGCTTATGGTCTACTCCAAAGGAAGCTTTGAGGCCGAGGTGCTGCAAACATGATGTGACCCTGGCGGACCCAGCACAAATCTCCAGGAAAAATGCGTCATTTTTGAGATGCAAATCTTGGCATGGCAAAGCTGTAGGCTTGGAAAACTTATTCAAATTAGAGGAGGCACTCGCTTCGGAGGGCACATGTAAATTGGCATGAACATCTGGTTCCATGATTCGGGATTTCTTTGGCAAAATTGCAGGCTCAGGCAGGGAACTATTGATGCAAGATGAGCTGCGCTTAAGAGCCTTTGTTTCACTGCAGTGTGGTTCTGCTGTTTGTCAAGCTTTCTTGTGGTCGGCCATGCAATGGGTTCCATAACAAATTGCACACACATGCAAACCTTTTCGGCAACGACCTTCCGACACTGCTTCCTTGCACTTTTTCAACGAAAAATCAAAACAAATAGGTTCCCCTGTTGGCGTACTTGCAGTTCCTCCAGCATCGCGGATTTCACGGGGAATTCTTTGCTCAAATCGAGCCTTGCTCTTTCCCTTTCCCTTGGCGGAATATGGCCTGAAGCGGTTGCTTCCCTTTCTGTTTCCCTTCCCTGCGGGGCTGGGAACCGGCTTCTGGGCAGGTGGCACCGGTGTTGTCGGTGGGGTCGACTTGGCTGGCATCTTAGAGATCATTGGCAGCAACGTGAAACTCACTTCATATGACTTCAGTGACTCTTCAAGTTTTGAATCCAGAGCGGAGACACCTGCTGCGTCAGGGCGAGGCTTCGTGTTGACTTCGATGAGATGGGTCCATGCTGCACGGTCTGCTGCGAGCAACTGTGAGACACTGCATCGATTATACCCCGTGGGGGGTTCTCTGTTTAAATGGCTGAAGAGCAATTGCACATACCGATCGTGTCTGGAGAAAGACATGATGCCCGCAAAATCGAATGCCAGCCCACGCCTTCTCAGTGCTTCCAATGCTTGGTATGAGCTCTGCACTGGAGTCTCATGGTCATGCTCACGGTCTCGGATTATGATCTTGGAAGATTCCACCTCAAGCATTTTGGTTTGCAATTTGCTGGTGACGGACAGTTCAGTCAACCTGCTGAAGCATTTTTCCAAGGGCACATACTTGAGAACATTTTGGTCATACATTTGAGTTGCAAGGTCAAGCAACGAATGGCAAGGCTCTGAATGCCCTTCAATGAGCACACCTGTGAGGCGATTTCGAAGGTTTTCCATCCTTGCTTCGCGCTCTGCTTGGGGCACACGGCGTGCTGCTGCAGGGTCTGGATTTGTCACTTGCTCTTTCAAAAGGGCTAAAAGCTGCGTCTGACTTTCAAACAAGAGCCTCTTCAGTGCAGCGACTCCGCCTACTGTGGCGCTTGGGTCCAATTGCCTGACCCACCCAGCGAACTCATCATTGGAAATGGGCTGACCTGGTTGCCCATGAGCATAAGCTAATGTTGAAATTGTAGTAATGCCTGAGTTTCTCAAAGCAAGCTTCAACGCATCGGGCACCTTCACCTGATCAAGTCTCAAATCAAATTGGGCTTCCGAGTCGACAATTGAGGTCATGGCTACGGACGTTGGCACATGCAGCGTGGGGCTATCAAACAGAGTTGAACCATGTTTTGACCAAAACAATTCTTTTTGAACAGTGAACACAATGCACAAAGTAAGGTGAGGCATCATTGAAAGGCAAAATTTTTCAGGCGTATAAAAATGGCTTTCATGCAGGAAACATTGAATTCTTGAACCATTTGCACAAGCAGCGGTTTGCCGCAAACTCTCACTCAGAAAGAAATCCATGCAAACATGCAGGCATGTAGTGTTCAATATTGACACATTTGCGACTGCAACATGATGGGATGCACATACATCCACAACCGCGCAGCCTTATGTTTTTCTTGCACATGCGGTATCATCACCGTTGCTTTCCCAGGTTTTTGAGAAAGACACGCCAGCTACACCGCTGGAAGACGATCAACGTCTGTTGCAGGTTTTGCAAAGGACATTCCATGATGTCGCTTCGGTGCAGGCGACATAGGCTGAAGTCAGCCTTTTTCCACAAACCAGATACTTCACATCATTGTGAGTGTCCCCATCGAATCTGTGAACCAAAGTGGATTTCGAATGGACATACCATGCTTGCTCTTCTGGGATTTTCGCTCTAAACCTTTTGACTCTTGGAGTGGGCTCCAAGTCTTCTGAGTCACTGGAGGATGAACCCACTGATGAGTCTGAAGAGCTATCAGAAGCTGAGGCACTCGCCTTTTCAGTGCCATCTTCGGCCACCTCTGCATGGTCTCCAGCATGGCTGTCAGCATGAGGCAAGCCAGTTGGGCCTGCATCTCCACCTGCACACTCATGAAGTTCACTGTAGGCACTATCAACCTCACCAGTGCTACCATCAACTGCATTGCAAGCATTCTTATCCGAAAAACCAGGCTCGACCGGGGTTGCAACATCGTCTGTGGCACGCTTGAAGAACTCCGATCTTTGACTGTCAGGCGTGAAGTTTCCCTCATGGATTGAATCAATGACAACTTGTAGTTCGGCCACAGGCGCGCAAACCAAATCTCTCGAGTAGATTGCAAAAGTCTCATTCAGGCATGAAGTGTGACGTCCAAGCATCGAACGCGTGGCTGGTGAAATACTAAACCTCGCACACCATGACAATGTAGTCGCTTTGAGGCTATGGCTCGATACGACTGGCTCTTGGCAGCCAGGCACGGGATCTGGAGCCCCCACAAAACGCCTGAGCATGCTTGACACCTCGGTAGTCCTAAGTCCACGCATCATGAAGGATTTGCTCTCACCAGTTGGTGCCTTGAGCAAAGGTCCATCAATTGGCATTTCCATGCATGCACCAACCATTTCCAGCACCTTGAGAGCTTCCTCGACCCAAATGCTTCCATCAATCCCTCTTGCAGGCACGACAATTGGCATGAGCCTAGTTTTGAGGGCAGCCAACCTTCCAGTTTTGTGGTGACTCGTTTGTATGATGACGAACCCACCTGAGTCATTGTAATCCTTCTCAATGCTGTGGATCATCAAAAGATCGCTGTTGCGGCACCTGCCATAGAGTGCAAACAAGATGTATGCCACTATGGCCCTGTCCATCTCATGTAAGCCTTTGTTGATCAACGCTGCATGGAGACCCTTAACCTGTGCTACAGTGAGGACCATTGCTTGCTTCAACAGTCGCTTTCCCGCAAGCATGATTTCACAGGTACCAATAAGGCGGCGACTGTTAAGCGCCTGGCCCAAAGATTCAATGCCCAAAATGTGGAAGGCAAACCGGAAGGCAGACATCGCTGAATCTCCTTTTGTGGCGGGAGCTCCAACATCCTTCAAGTGTTGCAAGTAATCCCAGATGAATGCTTCAGTGAAGGGGTTCCCAAATCCACTGCCAAGCTTTGAAAACCAACGTAAATAAGAAAGCAATGAGTTGGCACGCTTCACAAGAGTTGCCGGCGATCTGATTCCTAGGACAGCCTCAATCACTGCATGGGCTCCCAACGCTTGCTGGTCTTCAGATCCCAGCTCAAGGATATGTCTGCCAGTAACACTTCCACTCAGGTCGTGCTTCAAAACTACAAGGAACTTGTTCAGGGCAACATTTCGCAAACTGGCTTGCTTTGCGGCATAAGATCCATCATCTTTACACTCCACAAATCTCGAAAAGATGGGGTTTGGATTTGAATCAGATGCAACACCTGCCAGAGTCTGAGCGACATGCTGAGGTTCGGGCGCAACACCAAAATCGCAAAAATCGCTCACAGGCATCTTTGGGACCAACTGCTCAAAAGGTTCATCACTGAAAAATTCCTTGTAAAATCCAGACTCCCAAGGCAACAAGATTTCAGTAACCCGACAGTTAGTCAGCAACGCTCTTGAAAAGGTGGCATCCTGCACTGACTTTGAAACGACTGGCCCAACAGAGGCCACTGAGGTTTTCATGCCACTGGGAATCGAGCCAGCAGCGAAACCTGGCTCTGGCATTGACAGCGCTGTGGGTGCCATCGAAGCATCCATATCACCTGGAGGACAAGGCGGAGGTCCAAGGGGTCCAAAAACATGTGAATCTGTTGCGCCAACATTTGAAAAGCCAGTGTCATCACCAAAAAACTCAGCAGTATCGAAATCAAAGTTCTGCAAATCGACTCCGCGGGGATCAACATCGAAATCATCATGAGGTCCATGCAAAACATTGGTTAAAGGGTCTGAAAACTCATCAGCACCACGGGCAGCATGATGCTCGGTCAGGTCTTCGGTTCCAGGAGTCAAACCAGGTTCCATAGTCCCCAAATTAACCGGAAAGTAGCCACAAAAAGCAACTGAGAAATCCGAGTCCAAAACTGCAAATGGTGTACAAATACTGCGGAGAAGAAAGCAGGGCACGACGACAAAAGCTCTGAGAATTGGTCCCCAGCACAATGGTTCCGGCTAAAGCGGTTCGCCCGCGATGAACAGCCCCCATCTATGATGGCCACAAAGCCAGCTTGAATGTGAACGGCACTTGAAGAAACAAATCACCAAATGAAGATTTGAAAACATCATGACAATTTTAACTCAACCTGGGCACAGCAAGATTTGAGTATACTTCAAGTGACAACTGCCGACGACAAAATATTGAAAGAATAAGTCACAGGTTGTTCGCAGGATCTCATCAGCTTTACTTATTTCCATAGAATGCTCGGACGAGCATAGGCAGTGAGTTTTTTTTTTGAACTGCGGCTAAATTTCCTTAACAGCATGGGGAAATTTCACGCTATTGATTTAATGCCCTATCAACACGTTGACAGTTAGCTTCAATACTTCCCACTCTCTGCCTCTCTGCATACAATTTCCTCTCCCTTTCGGATCGGCCGCCACAGAGTGCATTGGCCGGAAATAGCGATGTCTGAAGCCTACCATAGACGTTCTCCCTCCAACCAAGAAGTGCACCACCCTCTACACGAGATTGCCACAACTGCAACAGTCCAACGCTACTTTGGCCCTTCCTTTGATTGACTGGCAAAATACCACCTCCATTTGGAACGCATTGTTGCCCGTGGCTTCGAATCGCTATGATTGGAATCAACTTGTATTCCCCGGAAATGGAAGAGTTCACTCGAAGATGGTGTGCAAGATGGTGGTTGACAAAGATGTGTAAAGGATGGTATGTGAAAGATGGTGGTTGAAAGATGGTGTGTGAAAGATGGTGGTGAAAGATGGTATGTGAAAGATAGTGATTGACAAAGATGTGCGAGAGATTGTGTGGAAGATGGTGTGTGAAAGATGGTATGTGAAAGATGATGGTTGAAAAAGATAGTTGATGGTGTGTGAAATATGTGTGTGAAGAGGAGGCGGCAGTAGTCGGGAGGAGGCGGAGAGGCGGGAAGGCGGGGAAGAACCCATACAGATTGAAAAACAAGATCCCATACAAAGATGTGCGGAGTTTGCGACAACTCCGGAACCTGGTGGTACAAAGAAGCTGCTGAGAATGATTCTTTTGAAGAGGCTGATAATGACTCTGCTGAGCCGTTGTTCTGGCAGAGGAGAATTGAGTCCTGGTTTTAAATTCTTTAGTACCAGGGTTGTCCAAGGAAAGCAAAGAAGTCATGCGCTCAATCAACGATATTACGCCCTTACCCGAACAGACTTGGAAATTGAAGAATTCTATGACTTTGATCGGTCCGTTGTCACTTCATCATTTATGCATAACCGCGGTAGTAAATCCGAAACAAATCATGACGAAAAACTTTCTGTTTTGCTGTCTTTCAGCAAGACCAGTGTTGACTCTAGTTTTTGGTTGTTGAACACTGGAGCTTCAGTGAACGTGATCACTAAGAGGGCTTTACAACACTTTCAGCACACCGAAGTTCAAAAATTTGCGAATCACTGCTCATGGCAGTGATTGTAGCAACGGAGGGTTTCTGCAAGGTTCTTTTGGAAATTCAGCTAGTTGACCGAATAGAAATCCAGATAGTTGACCCCCAATCGAATAAACCTACAAGGGAGGCCCCGAACTCGTCCAAAAATCATAGCAGTTCCAGGTGCCAAAAACGAGCCCAAAACTAGCCGGGAACAAGCACCTTGTACCTCCTTGTCTTGATCATGACAACATCTTTCCCTTTCTGGTATGTTGATGAAAGAGGTTCCGTATTTCCAAAGCCTGAGACGGCTCGGAAGGCCTGGCCGAGGCCAAGCCTCGGACGCGAAACATATTGACATAAGGACAAAGCGAAGCCCATGGGGACTCGAAACTATTATGCTATTGTTGAAGTCCCAGCAAGGCTGAACTTGAAATAGTTGGTAACTGTGCTCCCTTGCTTGAATTTTACGCCGCAGCTGCCGCAAAGAGACGGCCTCAAGGCAAGCCTCGAGGCTAAAGTTGGAGACAGGCCTCAATGCAAGTCAGGCTCCGAGGCAGGCTCAGGAGGGCCTTAAGCCCGTGGAAAGCGGAGCAAAACAATATGACAAAGAAGGCGCCCTTTTTTGGTCCTCAAAACGTAAGAGAAGGCAGACGCACAAAAATGAGCCTTCCCAGTACCGGAGTCATTCCGATTAATGTTTTTGTGGCACAGACTGCGTTTTGCATCTTGTCTACTTGCAAGCTGGCGCGGTTTGGATGGAAGACAACTGTTGGGCAGCATGGTGTTGAAACGACTCATGAGGCAACAGGTGTTAAGACGACGGATGTTTCAGTTTGGCATGACACTCTATGGGTTTTGGTTGAGCCGTATTGGGAGAAAGATGTGAGTATTAAACTTGAACCAGTTTTATTTGCCATCATTGGTGAAATGGTTTCTGTTTTGACACCTGATGAGATGGCAGCGCACAGACTGCGCGGCTACATTCCTTTCGAGCCTTCATGTGAGACATGCCAATCTCGCAAAGGATGCGTCAGCACAGGCGGAGGAAACAGGACAAGAAGCTTGCCACTGGAATCCATTCTTGTTTTTGCTTTCATTAGTTAGTCAAGGAATGGAAGTACAAGGAAGGTCCCAACTGCAAAAACCATGTCAGTTTCATGTGCCAAAAACGAACCCAAAACTAGCCCCTTGTATCTGCTTGTCTTGCTCATGATAATCTTTCCCGCCCTTTCTGTTAAGTTGATGAAAGAGGTTGCGTGTTTTCAAAGCCTGCAACGAGGCGCTTCGAGGCTCGGCGAGGCCTGGCCGAGGTCACGCCTCGAACGCAAAACGTATTCGCACAAGGACAAAGCGAGGCTCACAGGGACTCGAATCTGTATAATAGATACTATAGGTGAAGTCCCTGCACGGCTGAACTTGAAGTAGTTGGTAACTGTACTGCCTTGCTAGAATTTTACGCCGCAGCTGGCGCAAAGAGACGGCCTCAAGGCAAGCCTTGAGGCTTGAAGGGGTGGGGGGATGGAGTCCCCAATACCATGTGCACAACAGGGGGAGGTGGACCCGAGAGGGTCCGGGAGGACGTTTAACTTTTATAGCGCAGGGGAGTTGCTGAAGGCCCCAGTTCCTAACGAAACGTGAGTTAACACGGTACCTTGGTACTCCTTAATCGGTCTGTGTTGACATGCTGGGTTGCTCTTCATGACAGGACCCTAACACTGTTGGGGAGGAACCGACGGTCTTGTCCACCGAGCTTAGCTACCCAACGATGAATATTGACCTGGGCTCTCCTGTCACAACGTCACATTGTTGAGCCATTGCTCCAAATCCTGCAGGCTCAAGACCCCCAGTGATACCCATGGCGATGCTCATTCTCAAGATTGCTTTGGTGATCTGTTTCAACTGTTTGGAATTCACAAGCTTCTCATTCTGCACCAAAAACTCGCCTTGTGAAGTCAGTAATGTAGACCAATCCACATTCATACAGAAGGTCAGCCACCTTTGCCTGCTCAACGTCTTTGTTCCTATATGGGCAATGTTGCATGCTGTAGGTACCTGGCGCAATTGAGAACTTCCATCTGCAGTCTTCTCTTGTATCCACAGCAGTTTTTCTGACAGGTGACGTGCCATCCCTGATACCTGTCTGCGCGAAAATTGTCTCGCTGAGCTTGTGACTCCTGCTGCTTGCATACATGAAACAACACTTGATGTATATTTTCCCGAATGCGTAGCGAAGGGTTCCCGTTTATAGTTGGGAGTCTGGGGGTTGGACCTTTGTTCGCCGCCAGTTGGTCGGCGCGTCGTTTTCGCGTCGTTTTCGCGTCGTTAATTCGGTGTCTATAGGGGAAGCTGCAAGACCTCGTCCTTTTTGCTACGTGGATGTCGCCGTGTCTATAGGGGAAGCTGCAACACCTCGTGTTTTTTGCTACGTGGACATCGCCGTGTCTATAGGGGAAGCTGCAAAACCTCGTGTTTTTTGCTACGTGGATGTTGCCGTGTCTATAGGGGAAGCTGCAACACCTCGTGTCTTTTGCTACGTAGATGTCGCAGTGTCTATAGGGGAAACTGCAACACCTCATACTTTTTGCTACGTAGATGTCGCCGTGTCTATAGGGGAAGCTGCAACACCTCGTACTTTTTGCTACGTAGATGTCGCAGTGTCAATAGGGGAAGCTGCAAAACCTCGTGTTTTTTGCTACGTAGATGTCGCCGTGTCTATAGGGGAAGCTGCAAAACCTCGTGCTTTTTGCTACGTGGATGTTGCCGTGTCTATAGGGGAAGCTGCAAAACCTCGTGTTTTTTGCTACGTGGATGTTGCCGTGTCTATAGGGGAAGCTGCAAAACGTTGTGTCTTTTGCTACGTGGACGTTGCCGTGTCTATAGCGGAAGCTGCAAAACGTCGTGTCTCTTGCTACGTGGATGTTGCCGTGTCTATGAAGGAAGCTGCAACACCTCGTGTCTTTTGCTACGTGGACGTCGCCGTGTCTATAGGGGAAGCTGCAACACCTCGTGCTTTTTGCCACGTGGACGTCGCCGTGTCTATAAGGGAAGCTGCAACACCTCGTGCTTTTTGCTACGTAGATGTCGCCGTGTCTATAGGGGAAGCTGCAACACCTCGTGTCTTTTGCTACGTCGATGTCGCCGTGTCTATAAGGGAAGCTGCAACACCTCGTCCTTTTT